GTTCTTTGTCATTTTGGAAAGCTTGAAACATTGTCTATAACTTTCATGTTGTGAGTTTTGGCTAAATCAAATGGGAACTTGGTGAAAAATGGCCATGAAGTTGGGACAAGAATCTGATCAAAACTTGTAAAAAAAATTCTAAGTGTTGGATAAAAAACATCATAACTTCATGAGCTTATATCTCTTAAATTAAGCATTTTTTGATGAAATTTTTCCTTGAATCAGCTTGCATCTTGAGGAAATTTGCTTGTGAAGTTAGGGTTTTTGTTAAGAACAAAAACACTTAGAATTTTTCTGTGTTAGAAATTTTTCCAAATTTGACTTTTGTTGGATTTTTGATTTCTTGATGATCAAGTTTGATAGTTTTGAATGTTTTGATGATTCTTGATTTTTGAGTTTCAATGTTGACCAAAAAGTTAAAGTTTGACTTTTGAGTGATTGTTGACTTTTCATCAATTGATTCAAATTTTCCACTATTAATCACTTGCATCTTTAGAAATGTCTTGAACCATGTAATTAGGTCAATATATTGTATTTGAGTCCTTGAGATCATGCTTCAAACTATTAGGTCGTGTAATAGGCCAACAGTCAACGATCAGTCATCTTCAGTCAAAACACTAAGTTTGACAATTTTTTATCTTTGGTGATTTGAGGGCTTTTCTTGAGGAATCATGGTCAACCCTTGATCAAATGATGAATATCACCTCAAAATATTGATGTTGACAAAAAATCTTGAAGTTTGACTGTGTGTTTGACCATAGTTGACTTTTTACTCAATGTAGTTGATTTTCGGTCAAATGAGCAATTGACTGGGCAAATATGTGATGCAAGGCTTGAAACTTGACATAATCATTATTGAGGACCTATGATAAACCATGAAAGTCATTTGAGGCATTACAAGTTCAATTTTCCTTGAGAAAACTAAAACCCTAGTTATAGGTCAATGCTTGGAAGGAGATTTGACCAATCAACTCTTGAGAATCCTTGAGCATTTGAGAACCTTAGAGGAATGCCTTGAAGAAAATGGGAGCACAAATTTTAGATACAACAATATCCTATAACTTTTTTTACATTATTTTTTAATATGAAAATAATTTTTCAATTGACAATAGAATTTTTAAAATTTTATTTTTGTATATGGTGGTTGGATAAACGTTGATTTTTTTCAATAGTTTTAATAAATGTTAAAATAAACTTTAGCTTGAGAAAAAAAACATTTCTATAGTTTAATTTTTTGATAAAATAAGTATATTTGTTTTATTGTTTATTTTAATTATATATTAATGATAAAATATTATTATTTTAAGAAAATTATATCTATAAAAATTATTAGTGTTTAAGTTAAGGACATTTTTGTCTTTTCAAAAATTAATCACATTTCTTTCTCTTCTCTTTATTTTATACTAAACAATATTTTAAATTTACTCTATTTTTTATTTATTTCTCTTTTTCTATATTCTTTCTTATTTTTTTCTTTCTTCACACTTTCTCTTCATTGTCAAACATTGAACATTCTCCAAAACTACAATGTAACAGCTGGTTGGTGTGCATGAAGTTGACATATAATTAGAGTTGATAAAATAGACTATCCAATCCGTTTCACATCAGTCTGTGACGGATTTAAGCCTTTAGCGGGCCGAACCCAAAAACCTGAAATTTAAAAGAGCTACAATTTTTTATCCAAGCCCGACCCTTTATAGACTACAGCTATTCGAGTCGGCCTGGATAATATTTAATATTAATTTCTTCATTAAAAAGAATATTTTTTTTATATAAATAAAAAATTAAATTAATAGACCATAAACTAAATAACTAAGATATATATAAATATTAATCACTTAAAAAAATATAAATTAATTACATTCATAAAATCTTAAATAAAATATCTTTAAAATAATCAAGATTCAAATGGAGACAATAGCAGTATAATATATTATAAAATAAACATTAGTATTATAATGTATTAGTTTTTATTAAAATGACAATTAGTAGTGTAATGTATTATAAAATAAATATTTTTATTTTTATTAAAAAATAATATAGACATAAGTAGTATAATATATTATAATTTTTTATTAAAAAAATATTTTAAATAAGCGGGTTACCCGCAACCCGGTCGAATTTTTAAGGGGTTGGGTTTAATAGCCCAAATTATAAATAAGCTTTAATTTTCTTATTTAAGTCTGAAATTTTTGACAAATTTTTAAACTCTAATTAGTTCGGCCTATTTTATCAGCTCTGTATATAATGAACGGGAGCTGGTGAGCATGACCAAAAAAAACCTTGCCCAAGTTTTTAATTTTATGAATAATAATTAATTAATTTTATAAAAAAAGTTGAGATATAATTAAAAAAAACTTTAATATTCTAAAAGGAAATTAAAATTAAGTTGAATTTAGTTTTGGTTATTTAAAGAATTTTCAATTTTAAATATAAAAATTAATAGGATTAAATCTACAATCCCTCTACTAAATAGAGTGGATTTTGATTTTTCCTCCTAATTTTTCCTATTAATAGGTGACATCTTAGACTTACTGACTGAATTATTTCAAATCAAATATCTATAAATTGTCTCACATATTGTCTTTTCAAGGATTTAAATCCAGGATATTCGACTCATATGCCAAATGTCCAACCACTACGCTATTTGTCTTAATGTTGTTATTAATCACCTCGAAATCAATTAATAAAGAGTCATTTAATCTTCTTCTCCAACTTCAAATCCCTAATCTTTCTTCCATCTTCTTCTCCAACAAATGCTTAGATCAGAAACAACAGCATCTGAAATATCTCTCCAATAATTAGAGAATTAGAGTATGAAAAATTATCAGTGGCGATGAGCGAGAGAAGAAAGTGCTTCAAGTTGTGAGGAAGAATGAACTAACATGTGGATAGTGATGCAAATAGAAATTGTATGAACTATCATTCCATGGTGTTCTCTTTTTATAATAGTTTTCAATCTGAATCACGTTCCTCTTGGTCTTTCGCGCTCGCATTCTCTTCTCTTGTTACGCTCTTTCAATTTCCAATAGCCTTATGAGCCTTGTGATGATAATCTGAAGGCTCTAATTTTCTTAAATTTGCGTATTCACGTTAATGATTTTGATATTTTTATTGTTTCTCTGAAATCTAGTGTTTTAGTTAGTGTTTTTTTATCTTTATTCTGTTGTAATTGTTTGTGTTATACAGTTTGTTTTGTTCTATTTGTTTTTGTTTTGTTTTGTTGTTTTTCAAGGTTGCGCTCCATGTGTTTGTTGAAATGCATCTAAATATTTGGCATTTTGACAGTGGATGGAAGAAATTTAGCTATTAGTACTTGTTAGCATAGAGATATCGGTTTAGTACTTCTCGATTGGTTTATGATCTTTCTAATTTAAAAATGGCTCATTACATGTCCGCTTTTATCTTAGGCTATATGTAAATCATTGAGAATGAGAAAATGCTCTGTCAAACATGAAGTAATATTGTAGAATACAGAAAAACTTTAATAAGTAATCCTCACAGAAGTAATATTATAGAATCCAGAAAAAGCTTATAAGCAATCTCCACTGCTCTTTTTTAACAAGTATCTGCAATTAGATGTTGGGCTTGATAAGAAGTTTCTAGTTAATATTACCTTTGACAACATTTCTAAATGACATGTATCATCACTTAATAACTTATCTAGTATTTTTATGAGTTTTGTTGTTCTTGGAAAGGAGGTGTCACCTTTCAAGCATACGAGTGAATATGATTAAGGGGTGAGAGTAACTATGAGAATCAATGAAGTGGTTGTTTTATTAAAACTGAGTTGTAGTAATATTCTAAATCGTATCCATATTCTCTCTGGCTAAAAATTGGAGTGATATTTCGGATATTGTTGTTTCTGATGCTAAGCATGCATTGGAGAAGAAGATGAAAGAAATATTAGAGATTTGAAATTGGAGAAGATTAAATGACTACGTATTAATGGATTTCTAGGTGATTAATAGCAACATTAAGATAGATGTCATAGTGGTTGGACATTTAGTGTATGAGCCAAGGATTTCGGATTCGCCTCCTTAGTGAGACAATATTGGAGACAGTTTTTTTAGACAATTAGATACAATTTCATATGTGTTTCATAATTTTCTCCGATAAAAATATAACAAATGTACTTAAATATCGTTTAAGTAAAAATAGAAGAAAAAATATATATATTTAAATATCTTTTAAAGAGTAAAAACATGAGAAAATTGCATGTGTAAGAGAAAATTATACACTTGTCATATTTTCATTAAAAATATATATAAATCACACCTAAGAAAAGAAATTATACCTAAATTTTTTCCTTTTTTTTATTATAAGCATAGATCAAAACTAACATTCAATTCAAACTGTTGATATTTTTAAATATAAATGATTATTTTACATGTAAAAGAATAAAATATTACATTTAACCAAAAAAAAGTGATAAAAGACTACATTAAGATGAATCGATCACTAACCAACACTGCAAGCTGCAGCGATAGATGGCTAGGGATTAAGTTGGTTCATCCACGAAGAAAATCATAACAAAAACTTCAGTCACAACTCATACACATAAAGGAAGCAACGAGTTAGTTTGAGATTGTGATATGATTCATAACTTTTATTAGTTATAAGGAAATATGACAATGTTTAATTTTGAACCTTACAATTCAGGTCACAGCTTACACGTGAATAACAGTACTCGTTCCAGTAAATAAAAGCATACTTGTTCAATTAAATAACCCTAAATCTAATGGTTGTGATAGATGGTGCTACCATCCATAGAGAAGCGGCATAAAGGGCATAAAGACCATTAAACGTGACTAACAACAACTAACAAATCTACTTGCCTGCCTAACTCTTGACTAACTACCAACACTTGAAAACATTTACTTACAAAAACAGTAACAGTAAGCAGGAAACGAATCCATAGACAAAAAGAAAGGATGGGGATATTACTAATAAAAATAATCTTAACAGCCATTCTGCTTTGGACATCCCACACATATTTGTTAGCTTGACAGTTCGAGACCTGGGAGGGATGTTGGTTGAAGATTTGATTTGGTGGGAAGACCAGAAGACGGCTTCTGGGGCCTGGGCCTTTCTTCTCCCTGCAAAGGAACCAGCCTCTCTGACCCACCATTTGCTCCTTCAAACTCAAGTTCTGGCTTTCTCTTCAGCTTCTTTGTTAAAACACCATCAGCAACACGGATATCGTCCAGTGAACTGCTTGAACTTCCCTTTGCTTTTTCTTGCTTTACACCATTCATAGAAGTGGGGACCTGGACAGCTGTGCTCGTATTAGATACGGACTTGTTCGTTGAAGTAAAAGCATGACTGGTTGATTCTGGAACTAATTTCTCTTGTTGGTTCTGCTGTGATGTAATTGAGCCAGTATCAAGTTGAACGCTATCCTCTTGCCTCGATGCCAGCAACTTCTTTCTCTTAATTTTTTCCTGATCCTAGTGACACAAGTAAACCAATGAGACCAACTAAAAAATAATTTACCTTGACAACTACCAGATCCTGGTTATCATCTGAGCATAAGAAGAGTCGAACGTTATTCTTCCATTATTAATTAGGTTTACAATGTTATTTTGCTATCTTATCGACAAAACATAATATTAAAACAAATTTTCTATTTTTAAAAACCAAGATAATTTAACTCCTTTGTAACCATACATGTTGCCTTGCACAAAGTATAGATTGTGAAGCAAGACTAAAATTGAAACCAACAATGGTGGCGCTGAGGAGGAAGGTATATACAATTTTCCAAACAGAGGGGAAGGTCTAACTAAAACCTTATTTTACAACATTCCACAATAGGTATGATCTTATGGTCCATGTATCAATTCTACAATCCACTCGCTACTTGGACCATCATATGATCTTGGGTAAGCTTTGCTACTTAGAATACTAGGCATATAGAAAAGCATACTCAAGAGCTAAGACAACTGTTGGGACTCTTTTTTCAACTTTCTTAAAAAATATTTAGAGCAGGGGGGGGTTTTTTCCTTCAGAAGAAAGAAGATAAGCTTCGAACAATTGTTTATTAATATTAAAAATCCTTATTCACTGCAAAAGACATACCTTATTTTTTGTGTATGATGCTCTGCGCCTCTCTTTTGCCCTGCAAATTCCACGTTTGATTCCATGGTTGTCCATGTAACCAGTTGGCCATAATTCTGCAAGCTGATAAAGACAGAATTCAAAAAGGTTAAAAAGAATAAATATATCTGTTTATGGAATGCAAACAGATTAACTTGGACATATCATAAACTACACTTTCAGTACACAGGCACAGGCATACTATCAAGTAGTAAGTAGCATGAATGCTCCTTGAATAAGAGAGATGTCTGTTTGACACTTGGTGAGAAATTCCGGAAGTAAGTACTTCTTACACCAATAAATAAATTCTTAAAATTAATTAGGAGCCATTTTTGAGTAGGCGTTAAGAAAACAAATCGAACTTAGTGAAAGCAGGTGAAGAATTCAAACAACCATGCTGTTTAAGTTTTTGTCCTCAGCCAGAAAACCCCAAACAAGGCAACCCAGTAGAACTGCTAGACCAAATTGCAAATACGTTTTAAAAACTAGACCTACCTCGGCATATAACTTTCTGATCTGTGGACCTGCATTTTCATCCAAGCCCTACAGCCATTGCAAGCACGGTTCTATTAAGTTTTATCACAAAACAGAAATTTCACAATAAGTATCTGTAACTCAACGTACATCAACAAAAATATCATAGAGATCACAAATCTTGTCCTCCAAAGCGGCGTCCATATTGACACTCCTTTTAGTTATTGTTTTTACATCAGGACCAAATTCTTGAACATCACCTGATGCTCCAACTTTCTGCTGTTGCTAAAGAAAAACACCATACATCCCAGGTTAAAAAACCAAAACATTCATTAAGCAAAATCTTTTCTGAAAAACGGTTATCAAATAATGGAAACATTAAAAGATAAAGAAAGGAAATGTGATTGGGTATCAAATTACAAGAAGCAATGGAAATAATTCATTGCTAAGCTTTCCATATGTAGTGTTTGCACTGCAAAAACAAAATCGCATTGGACCCATTAACAGAATCGCCCGATAAAGAAAGGCAAAAAACATTAAGTGCAATTTTACTTGCTTATTGTGAGGAAATAATCACTTTCTCTCCCCTGCTTCCTGAAAGAGATTTACTATTTCCCCAAAAAAACAGAGCCAAACATGGTATAAATTATGATTATGGTGGAGAGAACAAAAACAATAACGAAGAACCAACAAAGCTCTAAACAAAGATGGAAAATGTGAGTGTATCATACGATGCTGACTGATACAACAACCAATTTATGTGCTATCTCGTGCAGTAATTTTGGAGGTATTACGAGTTCATCAGAATTGAAGATGAATTAAAAGAAAGCGCATTGAAGTCTGTCTACCAATCTTTAATAGGAAATGTTATAACAAGGGCAACTAAAATAAACCTTGGATTCCGAAGCTGGGGCTTGCATCTTAATCATATCAACAACTTCCTTTTTTATCCGTTGAAACCTATCATCATCCTCTTGCTTTGCTGACAGGCCCATATTGATCATTATTTTTAAGTTTCTCTGCCGTAGGAAAACATTGTATGAGAAGATTGTAGTTTTAGGGATTAAAAGAACCTAAATATATCAAACATACAACCAATACAAGCAATGAATAACAGCTAGAGAAACTACTTAAGATAACTGCAACATCCAAAATATCCAAGGTAAATTAGAGGTAGGATTTTTATTCCTTAAAAAAGACCATTTTTTGTGACATGAAAATTCGCAAATAATATTACAACTTACTGTCTGATAATAATGCCGTAGTCATAGTCACATCATATTGAAGTACTCAAAACAGAAGGAAAATGTAAGCACTCTTTCCAAAAAGTCACTCAATCGACAACCTAAACTAAGCATGTATGTGACTATGTCAGAATATATTAGTGAAACTGAAAAGCACATCTCTATTATTTTCAAGTCACATTCTAACAACAAAGTCACACAGTTCATAATCTAAACTAACGCATGTGGTAAGGTCAAGAATGTTCCAATCAAAGCCTATTTCAATTATTCTGAAGTCACATTCCGACAATTAAACTAAAAAAGTTGTATATAATGCAGCAACTCTGGACAGGGGACTTCAGAGAAAAACAATGCTCAAATCGTAACACCAATAATTTTTGGACTGCAATAGTATATATCAGCAGGAAGAGAGGCAAGTGGAGACCGGAGTTGGAATTGGGCACAACTGAGACTTAACGGTTATCTATTTATATTTAACAGCTGCAATACCTTTAATGTTCTGAGTTGCATTAAGTGCCCAAGAATACTCATAAGGCGGTTAATTAACTCTTTAGTTACTTTCCCATGGCTTGCCTGTTGCAACAAAAACATACAATTAATCTTATAAAGTTCAAATCCCTTGAGAAATTATATATATATATACACATTTGCCAGTACCGCTAGTCTAGCAACTTTAGCAAGCTTTAGCTTTATTTCTCTAGGCAACCTCCTTTTGACTGCCTGGGATGTATTATCGGTCTCCAGGTCCGCTGCAGGGGGCCTTGCTGTAATATTATTCAAAATGCACAAAAAGAAGAAAAGAAAGGAAAATAGTGTTAGCAACAAACTTCCTACATTTATCTGTGTGTGAAATATTAAATTTGAGACTTACACTCTGCAACCATTTTCTCTAACTCGACAAGAGTCTTCTCAAGCATTGAAGATTTTGGCCTAACACTAGACCCATCTTTCCTGTGCATGTATTCAGATTTCTGCATAATATTAAAATAAACCCATTACTCGAACAGGAACTAATACTACAAATATAGTTTCATGCACAACTATCATTATCATTGCTCAGATTAGATGGAACAAAAGTAGATATATAGTTTACCAAGACCGAGACATGAGGATAGTTTGCTTAGCCCTTTCCATTATTTTTAAATATAACACACCTACTACAGTGTGTCTCTAAGTTCAGTATCCTTAGTATTAAGTGGCTATCATTTTCAAATGAAACATCATGTGATTGATGTCATTCGTGCAAATGCAAAAAGGAAATGAAGTCCGCAATGCATATTCTTTTTCTTTATTAATTGGCTCATTATTGGGGGAATCTGTTTCATTTCCTCTAGCACACAGTATGTGATCCTTCAGTGTCACAGTAGAACTATATCTCAATGACAACACAGTGGTTCTGCAAAAGACAATAGTATTGGGAAGACAGTTCCTGGAAGCATGATGGAGCCCTTATGGTCTGAGACTAAGTAGGAGAACCCTTTTGTTTAATACCAAAAGGAATTGATAAAAGAACCACAATTCAGAGGACCTCTTTTATAGGTATTTATTTTTAAGTATTTATCAAATCAAATTTGAAAAAAAAAAACACAAAAAAGCAAAAGAAATAAAACTTACTGCTGCTTTAGTAGCACACTTTCCCACAGACAGGTTAAGATCCGGAAGTTGGCGCTTACCATTTCTTTCTTTCAACCGACTGGTATTTTCTAAATTATCAATACTCTTCGAGGGTCTTCCAGGTTGGGATTTGGATTGTACATAAGCACCTTTTTCATGGTACTTTTGATGAGATGCATCAAATAATTCACTTGTGTTCTTAGATTGAAAAGTTCCTATCTTCTTATCAGCATCTTTGGCTTCTGACATGGCAACAGGGACATCATCACTTGATGTTTTTAAAGAGACAGCAGAGACTAATATGGGTTTAGTATCAGCAATTTTCTTTTTTGAACTAACTCCATAGGTATCCGATTGATTCTGAATTTTCAAGTCTTCATAGTGTTCATTAGGTAAAGCCAAAATTTGTGAGGAATTACACACATTCCTTGCCTGAATGGAAGTTGTTTTCCCAGATGCTGCCTTGCCCACTTTTACATGTTTATTTGATCCATGGTCATTAATATTTTCACCTGGATTCTTCACTATATCTTTTCTGCGCCTTTTCTTTGGTTGCTGATTCGGTATTACAGGAGGTTCATCACTTGTAATGTAGAAAGAAACAGAAAATTAACAATAATAATTCATAATTGTAAGACTCAAATTTTTTACTACAATCTTCAACTAAATAATTCATTAAATATGTACAAAACTTGTAGACATGTGTTGAACATTTAGCTATGAGCCAAGATGACAATATCCAAAAAAATTCAAGAACACAAAGAAAGAACATGAAATGCTATTAGTATTAAGGGTTAAAATAAACACGTTCAGATCCCTATAAATTGGGCAAAATTTGACGGTGGAATTTATGAAAATTTTATTTGTTTTCAGTCTCTACATTTAACAAAATTAATGTGTTTAGCCTCACCCTCTGATTTATCCGTGACTAAAAGCAAACAATTATGTATTTTTAGGATTAAAAAGATGTATGAAAAATTAAAGGGACCAAAAAATATATCTTAATCTATTAGTTAATTATCTAATAAATTTTTTTATAAGAATCTCAAAAATGCAAAATGTTACAAGTGATGAAAACTTTGAGACAACTAAAAAGAAAGAATACTTGAAAGCAAGTATTACAAAATGATAACAATAGACCAACCTCAGCAATCAAACAATATCAACAATTAAGTAATTTGGAAAGAAACCTTTCTATGAGTAAAAAAAGGGAATATTCAAAACATATTTTTGAAACATTATACTTACGTGCGTTCCAATTTCCCCCTATTTACAAAGAATCCATCATGTTTGACTTTGGAATGATCAACCTGAAAATATTCATCCTGCAGAACAAACAGTTAAATAACATATAAGCAGAAAAAAATGCCCCAAGGAAAAATGCTATTCCTATATATCAAGGTCAAGGAACATAACTACCGACCAGCTCAGCGTCGTCTATAAAAGAATCTTCAGTATCATACTGATCATCATCAGGAACATCAGGCAGATCCTCATCATCACTGCTATCCTTACCCTGAAAATGATTTCAAACCTAATTCATTAACATTCAAGAAGCTAAAAGTTACTACTCAAACGAGCACCTACAATTTAAAACAGTGGCTTAAAAAACAAATTCATGCTTATTCAAAGCATATAATAAACAATCTCAGCAAGCAACATACACATACCATGTAAAGTCGTTCAATCTTCTCTATTACAGCACTGAAACGATGTGGCTGAGCTTCATCATTTTCCTCAACCTCAACAGGTTGTCCCTAAGAAAGACGGACAGAGACTTGTCAATATAGATCGTTTTATATCCGCAACCAGAATAACAAAAAATATAACATACGTCAAGTTAAACAGATAATTAAAAGCAAAACACCGATCTAAACAACAAAATCTAGGTCAAAACCCTCAGAAACTGAAAACTAGATCCAAAAACCACACTCCACTCGAATGCAAAACATCACAATAACAAAAATCGAAAACACTTGAGCTACGTATGCAAATCAACAATGCACACGGAAATCAAATCCAGAACGAACCACGGTAAAATTATAAAAACCTCACCGGAACAGTCTCCGGCCGGGAGAGTTGCGATGTGGAAGCCGATCCGTTCGACTTGGCAGCGTCTTTCAACAGCTTCTTCCATGACACTATGGTGGTCTCTCCCGGCCGGAGCTCCACCGTAAACAATTGCCGGTCACCTATTCTCACGAACGACGACGAAGGTTTCTTCTCTTCGTTCATCGTAACCGAATTTGAAATCGCTGTTTTGAGAATTGAAAATGGGGAGAAACTTTAGTTTAAGCCCTAGATGGAGAACGAGAAGGGAAAAAATTGCGCGGGATTGCGAAAATAATCGAGGAAAATGAAAAAATTGGAAAATAGATAAAATAAAATTGAAATTTTTTGACACTGTCTCTCTCTGGTGGTTTTAACTGAAATTCGAGCGAGCTAGTTTGTAAAAACAATTCCTGGTTTTTCTTTCCCGAGAAAACACGAGATGGGAAAGGAAACAAGGCGGGTAGTGTTTATGGACCGGGTTGTACCCGAACCGAATTGAAACCAGGTCTTGTACTTTGGGAAGGAATGCGACTAAAGGTGTGTTTTACGGTTGTATTTCATCATTTCAATAATAACAAATCCGTATGTTGTACGGGTTCGGGTTCTGTACTGGAAGGACATTTGTTTTATATGTATATTTTTAATAGAAAAGTATTTCGTATTCATGAAAAAATAATAATTAAATATATAATTAATAAAAAATGATTTGATTAGAAATTTAACATTTCTGTTATTTTTATCAATAATTTTATTTTTTTTTTATGTATAAATATTCTAGGTATTGTTATCAAAAATATAAAGATTAATATAAAATTTAGTAGTAAATTTTCGTATATAAAAATATTTAAATTAATAATATATTTTTCCCGTATACGATTTATTGAATCAAAAATAATTGAATCATAAATATCATTTTTCGTATAAAAAAATATTTAAATTAATAATAGATCTTTTTTCATATACAAAAATTATTTTTATTTAGGTATCGTTTACAAAAATATATAAATAAATAATAAATTTTCGTATATAAAAAATTTAGATCAGTAATAAAAAATTTTCCATATAATATTTTTTGATGAAAAATATTTAGATGATAAATACAATTTTTATATAAAAATATTTAAATTAATAATAAAAATTTTCCAATATAAAAATTTTATATTTTAAAAAGTACTACAATTCGTACTTTAAAAACTTTTCATTTCTATTTGTTTTTTCAATGTAAAGATAAAAATATAATATTCTGGTGCATTACTTTATGAATAATGAAAGAGAAACTAATGTTAGTGTTAACCTCTTAGAAAAGGAACTTTTTAGATTCATAGTTGCTGATAAATTCCACCAAACAACTCGCTTATATATTGTTTTTGGTAGAGATAACAAAAAAAAATCCGTCACAGATATAGATATAATGACTTAATAGGTATTTATAGATAAAATAAATATATATTTAATTATCTTTTTATTTACGGATACGGATATAGATTTAATGTTATCCGTATTCGCGGATACCGGTATTTGTTAATAATTAGTAAAAATATTTAACTATTAATTTATTTGATAAAAATTTATTATTATTATTATTATTATTTTGTTAAATATATTATTATTATTATTATTATTTTGATAAAAAAATAAAATGAATGGATATATTTTTTGTTATTATTTATTATATGTTAAATTTGAAAATAATTTTTTTGTCTTTAAAAGAGATAAAAAATTTAATTATTTAAATATATTTAAATAATAGTATCCTTAGATATTCGTAAATACTTATTTATTTAATAGATATCTGCACGAGCATAGGTCGGATACGAGTATTATATTTATTAAACGAAGTCGATAACAGAAACTATTATCCATATTCATAGATGTCTATTATTGTACCTAATTTTAGGTTAGGATGATGTAAAGAGGAAGTGTTATTTGGGTGTTTATTTAAAAATATATATATTGAAGTTGTACTCCAAAAATTAATTATAATCTCACAATTTAATGCATTAAATAATTTTAAATATAATGATTAAATTTTTCAAGAAACTTAAACTGGGTCATAGTCTAGTTTGTTTAAAAGTTATTATGTTAGATCTCTAATAAAAATATACTTAGTTTTTTTTATATAAAATTTTTTTTTAATTTTTTTTTTAATACTAACATAAAGATCATAGTTTAATAAAAAATGGTAATAATTACTAAATATATCAAATCATTGAAATTTGTATTAAATATATGTTTATTCTATAAAATTTATATATTGAAGAGTAGTGGAAAATTTCAAATTCAATGAATTAAAATATTTAAAATTGACAATATAAAATCAATTCATTAAATAAAAAGAACAATTTGATTTTTATTAATAAATGATATTTAAATAATAAATAAATAAGATTTAATTTCCAATATTTTGAAAATTTACTTAATGTTGTTTTTAGTTAATACATGTTGTTGGTTTTCAAAGAAATAAATATTTATTTTATTTGATAGCACATCTTAGCTGCCATGGTTATATGATTAATACTAAAAATGATAAATTTCACAATGTAAATTTTTTTTAAAGTTTAATTGTAACTACTCTCTTTAGTTGTTTTCTTGATTTTGATCTCTCCATTATAAAAATTACTATTTTAGTCTATTTTTTAAGTTTTTTTGTTGAATTTTCATCCCCTTCAAATCTGAGTGTATTTTTATACGACGTGATGAGACTTGAACCTTTGCCCTTCCACTTAAAATACCATCGCCCTTACCATTGGGTTGTGCATATTCATTTATTAATTTTTCAAACAATTTTTATATATAGTATATATTTAAAACATGCAGTATAGTATTTAGAACATATAAACTGAAATGAATTCATTTATTAATCTTCCAAAATTTAGAATCAATTCAGTCTAAATAATAGATGAATTAACAAACAAAAAAAGTTTATTTTCCATCACTTGCTCAATTCAGCCTGAAATGATGGACAAGGCAATGTTGGAGCTGAAAATATCTTGTGTTAGTGGTAGCAAGTTAATAAAAAAAATCCCTAGCATATACCATAAGTCAAAGCACTAGGTAGTAAATAGATGAATTCATTTAAGATATGTTGTGCGAGTGTACCCTACATCAAGATGCAACAACTTGGATAATTGAGAAACATGTGATGGAATTTCGCCAAAAAGAAAAATTGACTGAGAAAGATTCAGATATCTTAGTTGTGAAAGCTCGCCGATCTTGGGTGGGATTTGAGAGTAACTAAAGTCGTTGTCAGAAAGATCAAGATTTCGAAGGTGTAAAAGACAAAAGAGAGTGCTATTTGTATCCATTTTACCATAGAGTTGACTACTTTTAATATCAATGAGAACTACTTGATTTGTGTGCTCATCACATTTAATGTCATCCCAAGAGCAGCAATCAGTGCTTTTATTTGTATACTATTTTGGTGCAAGAATAGGGGCATCATTGCAGGACTGCTGTGCAGCAGATTTGGAGCGTTATGGTCAGCGTATCAGGCCTGAACTTGGCAGCAAGCATCTTTTGATATCTTAACCTTTTATTTTGACCACCTAGGTCCAACCTTCGACCAGATTCTTCTTCAAACAATACTATTTGATTTTCATCCAACAAGTGTCTTTCGAATGGGTCATATGTGTATCTTTGAAAGGGCCAAATATGTGTCCTTCGATTGGATCATATGCATCATTTATGTGCGCCATTTGCAATTCTTCGAATGGGCCACCAAGACATGTCTTTCGAATGGGACACCCATACATGTCTTTCGAATGGGACACCCAGACGTGTCTTTTGAATGGGACACCCATTGTATGCCATAGTGTAGGAATTATGTGTGATCGAAACACACTGTTTCCAAAGGAAATATTGCTCATTCGAAGCTAGCATGAAAAATGGTCAATGCTTTGTGAATTTGGAAGACATACAGGACCATTGGCTTCTGAGTCGAAGGATAGTTGCAGGAGGATTTTGCCTTGTGCTTGTTGGCTTGAAGAAGGTCCTTGCCTTGTGAATTGGTGGCAAGTGTAAATAAGGCATTTGTCTTCTAAATCGAATGAGGCTAGTAGGAAGCCACCAATTTATGAATTGAAGGACATTAACAGAAGGCTTTTCCTCTCTGAATCGAAGGAGGCTACAAGGGGTTTTTTGCGTTGTGTCTGCTGGCCTGGTGGGAGCCCCTTGCTTTGAAGCCTGCAAGAAGGAAGTTATTGCTCAATCGAAGGTTGTATGCAGCTAGCCATTACTTTGTGAATCAAAGCAAGCATGGAGAGAATTATTTTTCCAATCAACACAGGCATGCAAGCATCAAATGTCCAATCGAAGTAGGCATGCAGGGCACCATTGCATTGTGAACCATGTGAGGCCAATGGTGCAGTCGAAACTTGCATGCATGGGGTCATTGCTTTGTGGATCAAAGGAGGCACAAAGGATGGATCGAAGGAGGCATGAAGGAGACCATAGCCCAATTGAAGCAAGCGAAATCGAAGAAATCTTGCAGGAGACCAAAATCCAATCGAAACCTTGTGAATCGAAGTAAACTTATTTTTTCTCCAATTTTGTCAAAAAGATTATTTTTATCTGCTTTGCCCTTTTTTTAACAGTTTTCTCTTTAACTTGATGTTGGAAAATCCAATTATACTTATGTGAGCTTGAATTTTTTAGAATCCTTGTGAGAAATGCCTTGAGAAAAAGAGAGGGCAAATTTTGGGGTACAACAGCTGCCCCTGTTTAATCTTCTTAAACCTTAAGAGTTAGATTGGCGAGTCTGTTATTCGTGACTTGAAGGTGGAAGATGATTGAACACTAGAGTGCCCAGAAATTTGCACTCGATGATGTGGTTGACTGTGTAAGGATTGTGCTTAAAGATACCATTTGGAGAGATGATGGAGAGTTGTCGAAGATGGGCTTATAGATGCCACCCAAAAGTGATTATTGATAAAAAAAAATTGGAAGAAATATCAGAATAAGTCTCTGGTCAATTTATACTGAAACAATAGATATAGTGGGATGAGTATCAGAATAATATCCATAAATGAATCGTATCTGACTCGTATCTGAAAGATGTACTGAATGAGCGTCAAAATGACATTCATATTTGGATCGTATCTGGACTGTATTTGAAAGGTGTGTTAAATGAGTGTCAGAGTGATATCCGTATTTGGATCGTATCTGGACTATATTTGAAAGAATCT